AAGACAGCTGGCGCAAGATCCCCAATAGGCTGCCTAAGGTCCCCAGGAAGCGCTGGACCCCAGGCATCTGCTCGTGTTTAACAATTTAAAGTGCCGGTATCGGCGCTTAGTATTGGGGCAGCTTCACGAGTGAGTACTCGTGAAAATGCCCTCCATCAGCACTGATATTGGTATTGTTGCATCCCTAGAGCTAATAGTTCCCATAGACATGTGGAAAGCAGAACGTTGACGTGGTTGTGGTGCATAGACAGTAGCATTAAATAAGTATGTACAACTTGCCTGTCTATGATGGAGCTAAAGGTTCCCATAGACATGTGGAAAGGAGGATGTTGTTGTGGTGCATAGGCTGTTTGCAATAATGAAGTACTTGCACAATTGGTGGCTGACTAAATACTTTTTTGCCCCACTGTATAACTTGCCTGTCTATGTACTAAAGGTTCCCATAGACATATTGGAAGGAGGACTTTGACGTGGTTCACAGCCATTGTATCTCCAGAACTCGCATATCCAGTTGATAAAGGCCGTTCCTTACGAACTGGTCATTGGGTGTGGGGCAGGAGATAAAGCAATGGGCTGAGTTATATAGTCCCTGTTATCACATACTTCAACCAAGGCCAATAGATTACATATGGGTTTACCGTAATGCCAGGATATGTGAAATGCCATTCACAGAGATGATACTGTAACTCCTGTGATTTCACCGGGATTGAAGACGATTGGGGTGTTCATGGAGTACCTGCAGCCATTTGTACCCTCTGCAACTGCAACACAAACTTTTATATTCCAAAACTATTTCTTCCTGTGTATGGCCTATTCACAACTGTGCCCCAAATTCAGGCCTTTACGTAGGTAGGAAACTGCAGACGGGAAATATGTCCAATTAAAAAGGACTTGAATGATTTTTCTCTGAATTTGATTAAAACAATACAAAGCGTTCTTTATATATTGTAGCTGGTTCTCTGCAGGCAGTTTTCAGTCGCTCAGATATGCTACGAAAGTTGCTTGCGATGAACTGCTAGGAGTAGTGATCAGTAGGGAAGCAAAGCCAAGATGGCCACCTCTGTACAGGGACACAGTGCAGAACAAGGCACGGTAAGTCCATAATGTGGAAAGATCAGCAGCAGAGAGAGCACAAGTAACACTGGTGACTAGTCCTCTGCCCGACTTTTTTTTTTTTTTGGGCACAGCTTCTAGAGTTCAGGTCTCCTTGAAGAACACCGTAAAAAAGGGAACTCTTGATCCCCTTAGCCAAGATTAGATAATTGCTTTAATTCTCCAATATAACAGAATGAGGGAAAACCTGCTCATCAAAAACAAAATGAGTCTTCCTTCCCTCAGACACTTTGATACAGAAGGCTCTTTGTAAGCGTATTTTGCTTCACCAGCAAGGAGAAGTTCAATGTACATTTGCTTGCATGCCTGCTTGCAACAGTATGCCAGTATATCGTAGTAAACAAATTTGTACCTAGGGGACTCATTTATATGAAATGTTTACTCCCCTGGCAAGCCTGACAATATATGATTTCACTGCAGTCCTCCAGGAGATAAAAGAAGGGAGTAATGTAGTCAGATTGGTGTTGGTGCTTCTGATAATATACTTGTATAGCACCACCTAGTGGCCGAATAGGAACAGTGCAGCCTACTCATTGAAATGGCTGAAAGTCCTGTAGAGTAATTAAAGATTTATTGACGGCACACCCGAAAATATCTCACGGCACACTAGTGTGCCGCGGCACAGTGGTTGAAAAACACTGCTGTAGAGGGAGATAGATAGATAGATAGATAGATAGATACTCAATGAACAAAGTGGAAAGATACTCAATGAACAAAGTGCAAAGTAAATGAACAGAAGAGAAATCCAAATCAAATCATTATTTGGTGTGACCGCCCTTTGCCTTCTAAACAGCATCAATCCTTCTAGGTACAATTGCACAGTTTTTGAAGGAACTCAGCAGGTAGGTTGTTCTAGGCACATCTTGGAGAACAAACCTCGGATCATCTGTGGATGTAGGCTGCCTCAATTCCTTCTGTCTCTTCATGTAATCCCAGATCAGGGGTAGGACACCTTGGCTCTCCGGCTGTGCTGAAACTACAAATCCCATCATGCTTCTGCCTCTGGGAGTCATGTCTGTGGCTTGCAATGCCTTATGGGATTTGTAGTTTCAGCACAGCTGGAGAGCCAAGGTTGCCTACCCCTGTCCCAGACAGACTTAATCGTGCTGAGATCAGGGCTCCTTGGGGGCCAAACCATCACTTCCAAGACTCCTTGTTCTTCTTTACTCTGAAGATAGTTCTCAATGCTGCTGCAGAATAAATTTGGGGCCAATCACACGCCTCCCTGATGGTATGGCATGATGGATAAGTATCTGTTTGTATTTCTCAGCAATGAGGACACCATTGATCCTGACCATCTCCAACTCCATTGGCAGAAATGCAGCCGCAGACCTGCAAGGAACCTCCACCATGCTTCACTGTTGCTGCAGACACTTATTCTTGTACTGCTCTCCAGCCCTTCACCGAACAAACTGCCTCCTGCTGCAGCCAAATATTTCACATCCAGAGCACCTGCTGCCATTTTTCTGCACCCCGCTTCCTGTGTTTTCGTGCATAGTTAAGCCGCTTAGCCTTGTTTCCACATCAGAGGTATAGCTTTTTGGCTGCAATTCTTCCACGGTGACCACTTCTGGCCAGACCTTCACCAGACAGTAGATGGGTGTACCTGAGTCCCACTGGTTTCCGCCAGTTAGGTGCTGATGGCACTGCTGGACATCTTCTGATGTCGAAGGGAAGTACGCATGATGTGTCTCATCTGCTGCATTAATTTTCCTTGGCCGACCACTGCGTTTACAGTCCTCAACGTTGCCCGTTCCCTTGTGCTTCTTCAAAAGAGCTTGAAATCTTTGCCTGAGAGAGACCTTGCTGATGCAGTATAACTACATTGGGGGGAATTTATCAAAGCAATTGCGACAGTTTTAGCCTCTTAGATCATTTTTTATTCATGTGCAAATCTGTCTTTCAACATGTTTTCACCTGCGCTTCCACTACTTTCCCAACTGCGCGTGTTTTGCACCTGTTTTCTTCAGAGCTTGCACTAATTTTTCAGTTGCATGTTTTTTTGCGCCTGTTTTCATCTGCACTTGTCCTGCGGCTGTCTGAAACTGGAGCATCGGATAACAAAACAATGGCAACTTAAGAAGTCCCTGTGACCACTTCAAGATGTGACAGTTAAGCTTTTTGCCTGAAGTTACAAGTCTTTTTTCCTGGAGTCTATTTAACCTCATTTATGAACAACATTACACTAGCTTCATAAATCCGGTGCAAATATATTCCGTGCAAGTTCAAACACTCGCAATTGCTATGATAAATTCCCCCCACTGTGTCTTGTTGCTGTGCTCAGTCTTGCCATGGTGTATGGCCTGTGACATGAAACCGTCTTCCACAACCTCACTTTAGTAGCAGAGTTTGGGTGTTCCTCACACAGTATCAAGCCTCCTACACAGCGGTTTCTGTTTCAGTTAATGACTGTGTTTCAACCTACCTATGAAATGAATGATCATTAGCACCTGCTTGGTATCACTGGTTCCTCGTACACCTGACTCCAATCCTACAAAATCCCTGACTGTGCAAGTAGAAGAATTGATGCTGGTTTGAAGCCAAAGGCTGGTCACACCAAATATTGATTTAGATTTTTCTTCCGTTCACTCACTTTGCATTTTGTAAATTGATAAAAATAAACAAAATATATCTTTTTGAAAGCATTCTTATTTTACAACATTTTATCACACCTGCCTAATCTTTCGCACTGTACTGTGTATGTGTATATGTATAAATATATATGCTATAATGGAAAGCTCTGTGCAAACTGTTGGCGCTATATGAATCCTGTATAATACAATTTATTTATGTGTGTGTGTGTGTGTGTGTGTGTGTGTGTGTATGTATGTATGTATGTATGTATATAACATGTGTGTGTGTGTGTGTGTGTGTATGTATATATGTGTGTGTATATATATATATATATATAGTGTGTGTGTATATGTGTGTGTGTGTTTCTAAATTAGCAGTAGAATTAAGTTGAATACTATTCTAAATGTCACAGCAATGTAATAATGTATTGTGTATGTACTATATGTAATATGTTCTATGTTGATGTGTAGCCATTTTCCCCCCCAGAGTTGATTCGCTCAGGTAGCCCCGCAGTGAAGCTGGATGAATAGAAGGAGCATAAAGGGAAATTTATGGACGTTTTCACTCACATCAAAAAGGGAAAAGATGCAATTTTTAATCCGTATTTTGTAGATTTGTTTTTATAATGACTGTAAACAGACTGGAGCTCCTCGCAGTGATGCGGTACGCCTTGGAAAAGGGAACTCTGACATCTCTGAGCAGGAAAGGGTCACCCCTATGACATGTCATCTTGGGATCTGATAGACATCAGAATCTTCATTGTTTGGACACTTATCGATGTCCAGGGATTGAGACCTGTTCAGATGTGGCCTCATTTTTGTTACAGAATGTGCACATGAATCAAGCTTATTGTCTTTACGCAAATTCCAATCTGTTTCAGTATTTCTATATTTTGAAAATAAATCTTATTTTCAATAAAAATCTGGTATTATTCATGACACTTCAGGTTTAATGCTGTTCAGGCACCAGTTCAGTAGGTGCTCAGTGATGAATGCAGTACAGTATTCACCAAGCTGCAGGCACGGCTCCACACCGGTGGAAGCAGCACCAGTGTACTATTATCTTTCAGCTGCACTGAGCATGATTGGCAGTAAGTGTAGCAATGTTCAGGCTACAGCTGAACCTTAATTCTAATAGTATAACTCCACAGGACTATTGATTCCAAGCGGTCCGAGACCTCACCCCTTATTTACAATTCAAACCAACAATACATCTAAGTACAGTACCAATGGGGTTTTAAGAGGCGTCAGACTATTTTCAAAATCTATAGAATTTATTACACATTGAATTAAAATCCATCGACCTACATTAAGAAAACCACAGTGTTAAAAGACAATTCTCTCAGTTCTGCCTCAAGTTGCCACAACATTCCTAATATAAATTCATAATAACTTTCACAATACTTATTTCACATTGGTAGGGTGTAGTCCATCTTTGTATGCCGTGTTCATTTATATTCTTTGTTACACTGTGGCAATTACGTGTTAACTTCCAACGCGGGCAGCTACACATTGAGTGGATGACATATGGACGGAAAGCATGAGGGGAAGCTGTCACCATCTGATCTGAAATGAACACCATATAATAAATGACAGCGAACGGCGCATTAGATTTAGTATAAATCGAGAAATAACCCTTTGCTTCATATAGCCCTGTGGTCCCACCGCACCTGATCTGGGAGGTGGGGGACTTTGATCCCCGCGTCTCTGAGTGGATTCACACTGGTCTTCAAATGTTTCAATTCTTGCCTCACACTCCCTGAGGAAGCACATCAGCGAAATGCGTTGGAAGTTAACACGTAATTTCCACAGTGTAACAAAGAATATAAATGAACACGGCATACAAAGATGGACTACACCCTACCAATGTGAAATAAGTATTGTGAAAGTTATTATGAATTTATATTATGAATGTTGTGGCAACATGAGGCAGAATTGAGGGAATTGTCTTTGTAACGTGTTTTTTTTTAATGTAGTCTGGATTGTAATTCAATATGTGCAATGAATTCTATAGATTTTGAAAACGAAACCCCATTGGTACTTAGATGTATTGTTGGTTTGCACAGTTGAACTTTACTCATAAGGTGCAGCTATGGCATGCCCGGTGATGCAGTAATGGACTACAATAATGGACTATCATCATTTTGGAGCTTAAGGGAAAATGTGTCCTTTTTTTTTTTTTCTTCTTCTTCTTCTTCTAAGGGTGTGTTTGTTTACCTCTTAGTACCGTAGGTATGAATATGCCATAGCCACACTGGTAGACTGATTGGGACCACATACATTGTGTGACCTTGAGTGCAGAACACAAAGTATAGGGTGCGGACGGATCTGTGAAGACTGTGTTTTATAGGGAACATCTAGAAATGTTAATCTTCTTACTAGGAATGCACCAATACCGGTGTTTTGGTACCGATAATTTTTTTCCTGTACTCGCCGATACCAATTACAGAGTACCGGAAGCCCCATTCAGGAAGCCAGGTGGCGTGTAAAGACTTGCCACCCGGCTTCCGGATTAACAAGAAAGTCTGTCCCCTGTCACCGCCGGGGCCTCTCCAGCTAGGAGCGGCCTTCCTCCGCTAACCAGCCGGAGCCGTCTTGCTGGCCAATCATGGAAGCCGGGTGCCATGCTTTCCGATTGGCCGGGAGGCCGGCTCCATTCTGATTGGCCGGAAAGCATGAAGTGGGCTTCCCGGCCAATCAGAATGCCGGGCGCTGCGTCATTACACGCTGCCAGGCTTCCTGATTGGCCGGGAAGTCGGCTCCATGCTCTCATCACAAGTGACGAGGGAGTATGGAGCCACTTCCTGGCCAATCAGAAAACTGGGCAGCGTGTAATGACTCGCTGCCCGGCTTTCTGATACAGGAAGTATCGGGCTATGCATCGGAGCATTTGGGCCAGTACGAGTACTCGGTATCGGCAATGATCTCGATACTAGTATCGGTGCATCCCTACTTGTTACACATAAGTCAACATTTTTTTTTTTTGTCTTGAATGCATTCTGAAAAATGAAAGTGCGCTCCCTGGTATGTATGGGTCCAATGCCTACAATCTCATAGCTGTATATCTGCAGTGTGAACTCTCAGGCACTGCTGCCTCTGACTGCTAGTCTCAGGAGATTTGGTGATGTTACTGCTGTGCTGCTCCCTGTTCTTGTTAAAGACTCTGACCTAAGAAAGCAAAGCCCTGCTTCTGCCAAGATGGTCATCTCCACGCTGACACACAGTGCAAAGAACGGCACGGTAAGTTAGTTATGGAGAAAGGATTAGCTGCTCGGCGAGCGCAGGCGATATTGGTGACTAGTCCTTTGTCTGTTTTGGCTACAGCTTTCAGAATTTAGTTTCACCTTGGCCTCACGTTGGCACACACCTGAATACTCCAGACCAGCAAATTGATACAACTTTGATACACTTGCTGATGATCGGGGTGTACTTAGTTTTTCACACAATTTCTCCATTTTGGCTTTGTTTGTAAAATTCAAATAAAAAAAATGACATTTGTGTAATATGTCCATAAGCTGTTGTATTCATTTCTAAGACTTGCTAAGGACCAGATGATTTTTATGTCCTGATACCTAAAATCATAGAATTCAAAGTGTGTACTTTGCCATACGACTGTATATGTCAGTTGTTTGAGTGAGTAGGAGTCATGGGACACAACATGCAACATTGCTCTCATATACAGACAGCAGATGGCACCAGATATACAGATCCGGAGATGCTGGACACCAGTTTCTCAGTTCCTTTATATTTTCAATCCGCAGACCTTTGTCTCCAGCACATTGGCGTCATTTTTCTAAACCGTGTCGGAGGCCATTTTGTGTCAAACACTAACAAATGAATCATTTGATTTACTGTATCTTTCACTTGTCTACATGCATCTTGTTTCATATTTGTGATATTGTATTAGATATTGAGATTTGTAGAATAGCCATCAGAACACACACACACACACCACACACCACTTGTGTTGCACATTTCCAGGGAAGTCTATGGGGCCAAATGTGCTGTTAAAAAACAGAACATCCAGGTGTGCACAGGGACAAAGACCTAAAGTAGCCACCGCTATCTCTTGCAATACTATAAGGCAGCGTGGGTGGCTCAGCTCTCTGTGTATGACCAGGGATACACACCAGATTGGATCCTAATGGAATCTCTCTCTGCTTCGGGTACACCAATTGATGCCTTGAAGTGGATGTCCCTGAGGCAGAGGCCGGTCATTCTAGCCCCGACCTTGTCTTGTTCTATGACGGTATGGGACCAATTCCGAAGGGGAGGTGGGTTGGTGTCACCTCATACTCCTCTGGCTCCAGTCTTCCACAATCCTGGAGTAACAGTTATTCCACTGGATGTCTGGCATCAATGTTGTTCCCGTTTGTCATCTGGTTTACTCAATACCGTATTTTTCGCTCCATAAGACGCACTTCCCCCCCAAAAGGAGGGGGAAAATGTGCCTGCGTCTTATGGAGCGAATCCCGACGCCCGAGACATGCAGTTTCGGGCGCCGGGCGAGTAGTAGGAGCCACTGCTCGTTTATTACATAGTTACATAGTATTTGAGGTTGAATAAAGACATTAGTCCATCAAGTCCAACCTATTAGGATCTCATTCTAGGAGTACCCGTACCCCTGTATATTACGGTCCCTTAAGAAATCGTCCAAAAGTTTCTTGAACAATTCCACATTATTTGCTGAAATCACCGCCTGTGGCAGTGAGTTCCAGACCCTAACTGATCTTACTGTGAAGAACCCCCTTCGCCCCTTGTGCTGGAATTTTTTTTCCGAGCAGCGGCGGCGATCAAGTTCAGCAGTAGGAGCCACTGCTCGTTTAATACGAGTGATCTAATGAGATCACTCGTATTAAAACCGAGCAGCGGTGACGATTGAGATCACCATAGAGCAGACGAAGAACAGACTTTCTTCGTCTGCTCTGTGTGATCACTGAGACCGTGGCGCTGTAATCACAGCGCCACCTGTCTCAGCGGTCACTAACTGCAGCTTTTGTCACAGCTTCTGTCATAGAAGCTGTGACAGAAGCTACAGTCTGTCGAGTGCTCCATAAGGCGCGCCGTACCTCCCTGCGTCCTATGGTCCGGTGCGTCTTATGGACCGCAAAATACGGTATTTCACTTATAGAAGCTAATTATAAGGTGTTATCTAGGTGGTATATGGTTCCTGCCAGACTAGCAAGAATATACCCAGAGGTTTCTCCTCGTTTTCGGGGATGTGCTCACCCGGGCACAATGTATCACATATGGTGGGAATGCCCTAGATTGAGACCCTTTTGGAACTGGCTTTATGCTCTAATATTTAGGGTTACTGGGGTGAGGATCCCATGAGATCCCCAATATGTGTCTAAAGGACTCTCTAAAGCTTTGGATAAATGAATTACTTTCTTATTGTTGGCAGCCAAAATAACCATAGCTAGGGCTTGGAACTTGCCAACAACTCCATTCCACTTGGTCAAACAAAAAAAATGTCGTGGATCATGGTCCATGAGAAACTTCACAGCATCCTCCAAGATACTGAAAAATTATTTGAATTGACCTGGACCCCCTGGATGTTATATACAGGGGTGCTGGAAACCAGGTAACTTCCATTGTACAATTGTTCTGTTCTTTTTTTGGGGGTTCTATGTTTAATGTTTAAGTAGATGTTGGGCTATCTGGTCGGGGATAGATCTACTCTTTTTGGACTCTTAAGCTGTTCTGTTTCTTTTAGTATCTTTTTTCTTTCTATAGGCTCACACACGTGAGCTGTTTAGTACATTGATGTTGGACAGAAAGTCTTATGTATATAGATATGGAGGAGGTCATACCAAATGTTTGCTTCAGACACACGTGGATCCCTATACCTGATATTCCTCTCAGATTGTTTTGATTTTGCTGATGGGGCATAATTTGGCAAGAGTAGGTGGATAGATATGTTCTGTTTCACAGAACTATTATGCATTGTGTGTAGGGTTTCTAATGATCCCCTCTTACTACCTGACTGTGCTAATGTGGAAGACTCTGAGACGCAATTGTATGCTATACTGGTTGTGCATCATCTGCTATCTTATTGTTTTATTCTATCTTAAAAATGTTTAAAAATACTTTGAAAGTTAAAGTAGCCACTGTTCCAAGCTCGCTCCTGTGATGGACTACAATCTCACGTTAAGTTTACCAATTTGTATTGAGTGTGTAGTCTATCATGGGAGCGAGCTTGGAGCGGTGACTACTTTACAACACACACAGGGACCATGGGGAACAAAAGTAGCCACCCTCCAGAAGGAAGGTGTCAGCACCAATTCAGAGATGATTTGAGGATCTACAACCGAGTGATACACAAATAAGATACATTTTTATTAGTTCAGGGACTTGAATGTATTTTTAAGATTTAATTCTTGAGTTTAGTGTCACTTTAAGGTTAGGATTGTTCCTGCAGTCATTTTCTTTGCATACACAGGCTGCAAGTGTGTAGAGATCAGACAGCCCAACTACCAGGCGGATGGAAAAACAAAGTTAGCACTGGGAACGTAAAGTGTTTTTGTACATATCTTCTTTGTTTACAGTCAGAACTTAAAAGGACTGTAAAAGTCCAATATCTAGGTAACACTCCACCCACCTTGATACTGTCAAGCTTTGAAACAGAGCGGGGAGGTATTAGTACCTCTGTCACCACTTGTGTCCTCCTTGTCCCACTTGCTCTGTGATTGTGGTCATCAGAATGGGAGGTAATGCCAATGGGGACAGAAAGCAGTAAACACATTTCTATTACAGTGATGAAGGGTCAGAACCTCGGTCAGGTGTCTACAGCTGGCCATACACCTTACAACAATCGTTCGATCTCTTTCGTCCCATCATCCGTGTTCCGCTCGAATACCCCATCATCATGCACAGAACAATTTGGATATCATCCGTTGGCAATACTAACTGAGTGAATTGTGTCGATTGACAGATCAGATTTTCATTGGTGTATTTGCAGTGTTCATGTTGCGATTTTTTCCGTACGAAAATTCCACTAATCCATCGATTTTTGTACAAGTCGAAAAAAAAAGTTTTCCAGCCTGACCAATCGGGGTAATTCGGCCAGAAGTACAGTAATTGTTTGCTTCTCATCAACTGCGCGATTATTGTACAAGAACCTGATCGCGTTTGATTTCTAAACGATAATCGCAATGTGTATGGAGATTTCTCTCTGCTTCCTGACTCGAGTAATAAAGTAATGTCTGTTCACTTTATGTATTGCACTCTTCTCCCAGCAGGTGGTGTACCAATTTAAGACAGCAGAAAGCATGTTTGGTATCCAAATTAGTTTTATTTGAGGCTATTACAAAGAAAGGTTCAGTAAGATAACAACTGGATTTTGATCGCAAACAAAGAGCATAAAATACGCTGACTTTGAGAACTCCATAAAAATCATACTCAAGGACTTTGCTTCAGAGGTGACTTGTCAGTGATATGCCCTGCGACTAGAACACAGCATTTGTAATGTGGATTGAGCAACCCGTGAGGGTCCTAAACAACCAGAACAAGGAAACCTCCTGCTGCCACCACCTAGAGAGATGTTAAAGGTGACAGTCAGGATAACAGTTACCACTACACTAGAACAGGGCATGGTTACTGAAGAGGTCTCTGCAGCAGCTGAAGGCAACTTCAATGAAAGGAAGTGGTTGTGAAGTATTCAGTGTTAGATTAAAATGCATTATGTTGTCAGAGTCAGGCATGAAGAGACCTTCAGGGCTAACGGTAAAATTCACATAGAAGCCATTTAGCTGGAAACCAATTTCATGAGAAGGCCGTCAACTGCCTGACCTCACCCTGTGGAAGAGGTGTATGGAAAACCAGGACGCATGAAGATTCAACCTAGCTTCCCATACACCTCTTCCATGGGGTGAGGTCAGGCAGTTGGCAGCCTTGCTCATTGAACCATTAAAGTCATTTCTGTCCTGTGAGCAGGCAGGTGACACACAAAGCTTTAAATCCAAACCAGGAACTGGTAATCTGGATGTGCCGTGTGGCAGACATGTTGACTACGGGGATAGCTGAACAGCATTTCAAATCTTTATGAAAAAGGTAAAACCCCCAACATATGTGGTTCACTTTTACACCTGGAGTTCATTGGGGGCATTTAATTTCCTTCCAAATTGGGCATTCAATAGCAAAGCAAGCTCATCACTTTACTGGTCTGTTGTATCATACAACTTGGAGATCAGCTTTAAACTTTCATTGGTTACAAAACAATGGCTAGTAATGTTGATTCCTGACCCGCACAGAGCTCGATAAGCAAGTCACCGCTATAGCAAAGCCTTAAAGTTATCAAGACAGAGACAGATGTCGGTCACGTAGACAGCCGAGTGCAACAGTCGGCATGAAATGAATTGCGCTTTGTTCTGACAAAATAAAAGTAACTGATTAAAAAATATTTAACAGTGAACAGATATACAAATTAAAATGAGATCAGCAACAAAATGCTTTAAAAGCCCACATTCCCAGTGTCCGATCTATACAGAATATCCCCGATTACTCCTCCTATGTACACCCATGTCTAATCTCACAATATACAGTGGTTATACATCCATTTTCTACTAAAAGAAAATCAGTGAAGAAAAAGACCAGACACAGAGCCCGTTGACTGATGAGGAAAACGTCCAGCTTACTATCTTAATACGTCACTAATTTAAAAAACAAACACTTAGTATTGGTTTAGCACCAACATGGCTGCCTACGCTATTTAGATGTGACAGGTACACTTTAAGCAGTTATTAGGGAGACTTACGCCACTTTTAAAAAGGACATAGAAGTCACCTTGGTCCTAATAGATACACGTCTTTATTGTAAATGGAGATCTAGAAAGGTGACATCAAATCCAGGAAAATCTCAGCTACTTCCATACAGATTGAATCCACAAGACAAACTGAGCGTAGCCTTTAGGTGGTGGACAATTGTCCATGAGGTTCTCTGAAGATCCATTTCCCACCCAAAAAAAAAGGCAGATTACTGCGCAACTTCCGATCACACAACATTTACTTGACCTGCACATATATTTGTGTCAATTTCAGGGATTCAATAGCATATAAAAATAAAATTGGGTCCATTTGTTAGAATTGTCCCCTTCCCCAGCAGCAGAAGGTGCCAGGCAGTTGAACCTGTTGGATGATCATCAAATGGCTGTATGCAGCATAATCAGTCAATCAGCTGTAGCCACAAGACCAAAATCAGGCCATTGCTGGGGCATTGAGGTTCACATAATGTCACATTGGCTTTCCAAGTGTGAATAGATTCTAGAATGACGGTGGAATGCGTTGATCTACAAATCTGGACACTATGCAGCTGTAACCTTCTGAGCTCTCTATGGGGGGGAAGGGAGGGGACATTGTAGATCCTATACATACTTTGATGGTGCAGTACAAAAATTCTGCATCTTATTCACCTGCGGCTTACTGTTCTGAAAGACCATCCTACCGCTCATTGGACCCATGTATAGCACCCAGAGCCATAATTAGATGCTAGATCATTTCATTTAAACAAAGGCCATTGGAACATACTTTAAGAAGCCACACAAGCCGACTTAAACAGTTTAATGTGGTTACAAAATCAAAAAGGTAAAAGAAACTTGCTGGAATAAAAACGTACCCACAGGAAAAACGCCCTGCTTAATAAAATAAGAACAGTTTACAAACGGGGTAAATTACCCCTAGGAAAAAAAGAGAGACCTCTTCCTAGTAATATTTATTTCTGGTTGAACGACATTCTCCTCTCAATGATCTATTGCTGGAAACACGCTTCCGTGGAGTGACATGTAAATTGGGAGAGATACAGTAACCTGATGCTACAATCTGTGTTATGGACATACATGGAGTGTTACAACTGTTCGGAATGGCGTCCTCTACAGGCTGTAGGCATTGTTCATCAGACATTCTTTGTCATCAATGGGGTTCCACATGGCTCGGAAGTCAGAGCTCTGCTGATTCTTCTTGGCCATCTTCACAAAGAACACGATCATGACACCCAACAAGGAGGCGGCCATTACTGCAAGAAGGATGGGCAGTACCACAGCTGTGGAGGAAATGTACAGGGTTAGTAAATCCAGCAATAGCTTTACTTTATGCTCTGCCCAAGTTAAAGAGGACCTGTCACATTTTAACAGCAAAGCCACATACACAAATATTTCTAAAAAGGGATATTCTATGGTGTTGTGCATTAGGAACTAGAATAGAATTTCCACATATCGTGACGTAGATTTAGTTACCTCATGCTCACATAAACATGGTGGTAAGTTTACCATGCAGAATACCCCATCTTCATATATTTATTGTTACAAGTTTGACTGTAGACACAATCATATGGTCCATGGTAAGAAATTTGAACCAGGGGCATCAGGTCTGGCATTGGAGTTATGGCCTTAGAGGCTGAATGAATGTACATAAAATATGCACACAATGTGTATAGAGCAACAATGCACTTTGAAATGGTGCTGTATTATGCCATACCATGCATACAATACTATACTCATGGACCAAATTTGTAATAGGAACTCCTGCAATTCTAGCCCAACAAATCCCCTTCAAATTACTGGATGAACCTCATATTACCAGAAGCATGATCATGTATATTATGTGTTCAGCAACATTAAACTCACCTGTTAGTGGGCGATGAATGACATGATGATCTACGTTGCCGTCATCCTCTTCTGCAATACACAAGACAAGCAATTGTTACTCTCAGCTATAGACAAGAAGTGACCATTCTACTGACAGATCACATCTTCTGCAATACTCCTCATTATATAACATCTGCTCAGTATACTACTTGAAGATACAATGGTGTAGCAACAAGGAGGCTGAGATAGCAGCTCCAGGTTACTGCATCATATCAAGACATGATGGCTTGTTTAAGGTTCCATGCTGAAATTGTTTCTAATATTATTTGAAGCATTTGAGTAAGTGGTGCCGAGCCTAAAGGAGGTCAGCTGCTTCCTGGTATAAAAGGCAATAAGCTTTCATTACACTAGAGCCAAAATGGCCAATACTGTGTATACAGAATTATTTCTTAGACAGGCCATTTTGTGCAGATAACTTTCTAAAAGGGAAAGTTAGGAAGGGGTTTACCTTTTAAGAGTAGAATAGATGTTTTCAATCGTCGATTTTAATCGACTAAATCGATTAACTGTTGCAGCTCTAGAGTAGAACATTTTTAACAAATGCACACATTTTTTTTATAGTCTGCATCCATTTTCACAAAATGGTAGGTTTTCTAATAAGAAACTCCAGCACTGCCGGTGTGCTTGTTGGCAGCCTGTGTGCAACCGATTAGAGATGATTCGGCCACAACTAGAAGTAATGTAGGAGGATGCATCAATACACTGGGTTCATTTCCAAAGGTCTATTTTTTTAGCACTGCAGCTGCAAGAGTCTTCAGAGCACAGAACTTGCCATCTTCAAAATGTTAGGCATTAAAACTATATATTCCCTTAAACGACAAATTACTGCATAACTTCTATCACAGACTCCTTCAGGTAATAGGGAATCCCACAGATAGCCCTGCCAGGCTGACAGATAAGGTTACCTGATCGGCCTTGACACATCTTCAAGCAGTCATCCTCTGTGAGGTAGTTGTTCTTGTTGGGCTTGCAGCCACCATACACAAATGTTTTACAAGCCATTGCAGTGGGGTCATAGAAGAATCTCCTGAAGGAAGCCCGGCAACTGCCAGTGGAAGGAGCTGCAGCACAGTAATCTGTGGATAGGGAAAAGGTTATTATGGTCAGGACATGAACATTTCCATCTGGAATACTACTTGTACAATGAGCTCTCTGCCATGCCCAGCATAGATCAAGGTAAAAGCTGTGGAGGCATCACATATAACACAGCCTATGACCCATTATGTACAATGCCTAATGATAGGAATTCCCCCCAAAAAAGAGAAAATATCCTCTCCAATTCTTTTGTGGACTGAACAACATGGGAGGAGAAGGAAGTCTCAAGTCCCCACCTACCTAGAGAAATGTTAATACCATAGAACACTAAATGTTGTGGCTGCGCCATCGCTTTCACTATATGGCACCGAGCAGGGGCAGCCTTCTCTTCATAGGAGTCCATGCTGCAGCCCATGCTCCCTTGCACAGATGGGTTCATACTCTTACTCCAAATGGAGTGCACACATGTGTAGCAGCATAGGGCCAGGCAAGGTCTGTTATGGAGAGAGGGCTGTGTGCGCCATGAACTGGATTGTTGTGACATTTCACTGAAGGCAACTTCTGCTTTTTAAAAAGTGAACCTCTGCTTTGCACCATGCAGTACAAACAGCTCACGCATCAGCTCCACATACTCTATCTTTTGTTCCTCTACTGCATAAATGGAGTCTTACAGAGAGAGCAGAGTTGTCTATCCCTACCCCAATGCGACAGCCTTGTATGACTGAGCAGTCAGCCAATCGCTAAGTACCTATACTGTCACATGGTAGGAAGGGGAGGGAGTCACTTGTACCCCCAAACCCAGAAATACTGGGTATCTCTCCTCCCTCTTTTCAGCAGAATGAAGCAGCAAGGGAGCCAAGATGAGGAAAGCATAAATCAGTAATAAGCTGCCACTAAAGTCAACCCATTTTTTGCCCTGCAAGCACACAGTACAGCTTCACATTTCCTGATACAAACTGGTAAAGCACACACATTGTAAAATGAAGATCCTAGAAGAGTAATACCCGATAACCCAAACTGTACAAAGAACCATAGGAAGTTAGGCACCACAAGTAGCTTTCAAGCTGAACTGACAACTATTTGCCTGTTTCCACTAGCCATTCCCAAAACAATACACCCTCTATAACATCTCATCTGTGTATCCACTACACCAGTCAGTGCAATGTTCCCTCCGCAGACAAATCACAAACCTTTGAAGTTTCCGACTTTGGGGGACTGGACAGGAGCAGGTTCTGGCTTCGGAGCTGCACATAAGAAGAAAGAGCATTAGTTGGAAGGGCAATGGTTTTAAGCTCAGGGCAGTAGAAGAACAATTGTGCATACCAGGTGAAGACTAAAATAACAGAGAAATAACTTCACTCACCAACGCAATTGTTAATACACTCCTCTTCAGACACGTGGTTGTTCTTACTGGCTCCGCAACCACCATAGATAAATTTGCGGCAAGACTTCAACTGGGAGTCAAAGTACCATCGGGGGAAAGCAGCTCGGCAATTTCCAGTTACAAAAGAGCCTGAGCACATTTCTATAGGGAAAGAAAAAGTCGATAAGGTGCCTCGGAAATGACAAATGAGCACCGGGTGGGAAAAAAACAAAACAAAAAAACAAACCCCCTACACACATCCAGGAAATCCCACCCAACTAATACAATGTACAATAAACACAGAGCAATATAGCAGAATACTAACTAACCTGGAAGAGAAATGTCGGCCACCAAGCGTTCAGGAGCAGGGTTGGTTTCAGCCTTTGTCACTAAACATCAATAAAAAGAAGAAAAAACATGAATGTGACAAACATGATTTAAGATTAAACAGGAACGCAAGGCAAGTGGCCAAATACATATACATTCTATGTCCACACCCCTGATGATATATTATGGGGTCAGGACTATTCTAGTATCAGCTTCTGAACCATTCATGAGCCTGTAATGTACATAGTTACATAGTATTTGAGGTTGAATAACGACATAAGTCCAACCTATTTCATGATGTGTGCGTATGTATAGGTCCATGTATCATCTCGTTCTTAAGAATACCTGTACCCCTGTATATTACGGTCTCTCAGGAAATCCTCCAAAAGGTTCTTGAATGACTCTACACTCTTAGCTGAAATCACTGCTTGTGGCAGCGAGTTCCAGACCCTAACCGCGCAAACTGTGAAGAATCCCCTTCGCCCCTTGTGCTGGAATTTTATTTTCCACCAATTTTAGGTGGTGGCCTCTAGTTTTTGTAATGGAGTTAATCGTAAAGAGTTGGTTGCCAATGTTGCTGTCACCATTGAACATCTTGTACATGAAAATCATGTCCCCCCTTAATCTCCTTAATTCCAATGTGAACATGTTTAAATTTAGTAGCCTTGTCTCATAGCTCTGGTCCTCCATTCCCCTAATTAGTTTGGTTGCCCTCCGCTGGACTCTTTCCAGCTCAAGGACATCCTTTCTGTTCACTGGTGACCAAACTCGATGTAAACTCAAGTGGCCTAAAACAAGTAATTCTCACCTTTTACACCACGGCATTTCTCCATACACTCATCCTCTGCTTCGTGGTTGTTCAGGTTCACTGGGCAGCCTCCGTAAGTAAAGTTTTGACAGGATTCAGTCTCTGCATCATACCACCATTTTACGAAATATGCTCGACATGGTCCGGTTTCACCTTTTGTGAGGCAGAAATCTGGAGAATAGAATGAAGGTAAATAAATCAGATGCTGTGAAAACAATTATAGATGTATACTGAACCCTGTATTTAGTTTACAGGCGCTTGCTGAAGGGCTGCCACACTCACTGGCTGCTACCTTCCTATATTCAAATATTGGAAGAACGTATATACGTTTCCTGGGGATTTCAGAGGTAGTAGCTTCTCATTGTTAAAAAAATGGAGTCTGTATCCCACCTTCCAAAGATCAGGATTCCAAAGGAGAGATTTCCCTAGTGGAGGTCACAGGCTCTACCATCATAATGAACATTTGTTTGGCTGATTTTACACCAAGGTGAATGTTAAGACACATTTAACAGTTATATAATCTTTGTACTACCAACCACTGTGTGTAAGGGGGTGTGCGCAGGGGCAAATTTGGCTATAGCAATCATTCTAAAATGGTCTGTGATCGTCCTGCAAATCACTAATAACCGATCACTACAAAAAAAGGCAATATTGGGGGGGGGGTACCACCACCACCA